TTTTCCGTTATTTTCTTTTTTTTTTATCTTTTGCTTAGCATTTGTTTATTTGTGCGAATTTTTTTGTTTTTAATTGCTTTGTGGCTTTATTGCTGATGTATTATTATTTCTATTTATATTATTGTTGAATTTTATTTTTTATTTCAATATTTGGGGCGGTTTTTCACGCTCTGAAAACGCGCTGCGCGAACGGTAAACAAAAAAAAAACCAACCGATTTTCAAATGCAACGCGTGTGCGACAGAGAGGGCAAATGCATAGAAGAGCGAGTGAGCGAGAGAGCGAGAGAGAGCGAGAGAGAGAGAGAGCGCGTAAATGGGAGATATATTTAGGTATATGGCGAGATATAGCTAAGGCTTCGATTCGACGGATAATCGCAGATTTCGTGTGCTAATGTCGCGGCTTGAACTTTAAAACTGGGCACAAAAATTCAAAACGAAAAAAAAAATTCCGATTCAGAAATTTCGCATTGTTTAGTGCGCTGTGCGCGAGCCACTCGCATCGCTTTTGTTGTTGTTCTTGTTGTTGTTGCTGTTGCTGTTGCTATTATTGTATTTGTTGTATTATGTTTACTCGTATTATAATTTGTTGCTGCTGCGGCAGCGGCAGCGGCAGCGGCTGCTACAGCGGCTTCTACTGTGTAGCTAGGTGCAGCAGCGCTGCCGCCCCGTTTGCCTCCGATCTGCCGCCGAATCGCCAGATTGGAGCGCTCAATGAGCTTGAGTGTCATCCACTTAGGAAGCGCCAACCGCTGAACTCGCCACAGCCGCAGCCCCAACAACAACAACAAGAAACAGCGCTCTGGTCGGGACTAGTTGACAGGCAGATACCCTAAACAGTTGCCAAGCTGCCATTGCAAATATTCTAGCTTTCTTCTATGTACACATACACATACACACACACACACACACAGTAGCTGTGCTTCTTCTTCCTTCAGTTTCATACAACAAGATTAAGATTCCCAAATAACTTGGGCGTTTATTGTTCGATCTCGATGAAAGTTTCAGGGCTTATGAAAATAAAATGCAGGAGTCTATCTAAACAAAAGCCCAAGGCTTTATCACAAAAAAAAGAAGTTTCTCATATCATTCTTGGCAAAACAGATGCAGGCATCTGGAAAGTGGCATATTCTATATAGACTTAACCCACAAGAAAATCCGCATCCAAAAATTTGGTAGCTGCAGCTCTTGAAATCTGCGAGTTATGAGCCGGCGATTAATATTATTATAGCTCAACGATGATGAGAAGAAAAGAGATATATAATATATATAATATATAGCTGTACTAGATGTTACATACGTTTGCAGGGAATCATAATAGCCGCTGCACCTATTTTCAATGGGCTGAGGTATAACAATGAGGGCGGGATTAGCTGCGCAGGCGCAGGCGCAGGCACAGACGGAGGTCGCTGTCGCTGTCGCTGCTGACGTCGCCGTTGCCGTTGCCGTTGCTGGCTGAAATGATTATAATACAATGGACGATAATGCGAGCGATCATGTAAATTAGATTTGTCTCAGTTGTCGACGGCGGCGGCAGCGTCGGCAGCGGCGTCGACGGCGTTGACGACGTGCACGTTCCGAGCCGAGCCGAGCTGAGCTGAGCTGAGCTGAGCTGAGCTGAGCCGCAAGCTCCGGAGCCAGCCAAGTACGAGGCAACAAAAACAACAGACGCCTCAAATGATTTCCTTTTTTTTCTTTTTGCCACAACATTTATTGCATTATTTCGTTCAAGTGCTGAACATGGCTGTTGCCGCTGCTGATTCGAATTATTTTCTATGCTTTTTTGTGAATTTGATAAAGTCTAAGCAAAAATGATATCAAGTATGCGCGCTGGCTAACTAAGTACGTGGAGCGCATAGGACATCAAGTATATTATCAAGAAATGTATGGGAAATACACATAAATATAACATATGTATATGTACATATATACATATAAACGACAACAACAGCAACTAGTTGAAAAGAGCGTAAACAAAAAAAGAAAGAAAAAAGAAAAGTATAATAAGCAGATGAAATCTCAACGAAACGCTGTGGCAGCAAATTGAATTAATTCAATTAATTTGCATTGTAAGTACATATGAAAATGTCAGAATTGTAATATAGAAATTGTGGGGAAGCAACTAACTAAACGAGTGGAGCTTAAATGAATAACGTTTTGTGGTTGTGCCAAGTACCACTCATAAGCAATTTGTGCAGGTTGTGAATGCGCACAATGTGTCGCTGCGGAAGAAAATGAAAGCAACATTTTGCGGCAATAACAATTACTTCAATTGCGCTCTTTTTATATTTAAATATTTAAATTAATATACAAACAAAAATTCAAAAAAGGCGCGCGCGCTAATTCTTTAACGCACAACACAAAGCTCGCTGATATGAATACGGCTGTCGGTTTGAATACAACACTGTGTGCGATAGCTGCCTCACATACACACGCACGCTGTGCAACACTGTGTGCTGTGCATATCGATAACGATTCGCTGACATATCAAGCATGGCCGCCAGCCGACTGTCAAAGGTTCTTTTCCGGTTTCGTACACGACGAAGGAGGTACGCTGAATTGGCAAAGCCGCAAATAAATTTTTAAACATCGCAATAACATATATATATACACGAGCAAAACGCGTAAAATATTAAAGATCATAAAGTGCTGTTTGCTGTGTGCATGAAATTGCAATGCTTTTGCAAATACAAACAGCCACAAATTGACTGCAAACATTGTGTTTTATTTTTTTCTGTGTACATACAAAACATATATGTATTTTTTTTTGTTCTTGTTGAAGTGATTTAAAGCATTGGCATTTACTATATATATTTTGTAGATATTAAATAATGGGCCGTTACTCACGTGAGCCAGATAACGCCACCAAGTCGTGCAAGGCGCGCGGTCCCAATCTACGTGTTCACTTCAAGGTAAGCATTGTTGGAAAGATGGTTCCTTTGCGGATGCAGACGGACGCCAAATATTTGTTGTTGACATTGGCAAAACTGTGGTTATGCTGTAGTGTGTGTGTGTGTGTGTGTGAGTGTGTGCAACATAAATCAGTGAATCGTCTGCCAAATTAAATGCAGTTTTCACTTTTGCATTGTTGCTAGATCAATTAGGACAAACTCATCAGCTGAACGCGGCGATTATACAAAGACCACGTCGCGCTCTTCTAAAGTCTTGTCCACAGCCCTAATTATAGTCAAGTCGTGGGCGCACTTTAATGTGTAAAATGCGTGCATTTTAAAGCGCGCATTTTCAGTTCAAGTGTGCCCAAAACAAATTATTTAGCCATGTTAAAACAGCGGCGAGCAGCGTTCAATGCGCTCGTCTCTACCTGTAGCATGGCACAGCGCTCAAATATTGAATATCTTGAGATATCCACAACGATAATTATCATAGCTGGCGCATTATGTTTGTGATCGTGTATAACCAAGCGATTATTTAAATGCTTGCGCCTATAGCGAAAATATAGTCATGTTAAAACAGCGGCGATTGGCGTTCAATGCGATCGTCTCTACCTGTAGCATGGCACAAAGCGACACACACACACATGTATCAATTACTCACTTGCCGTCTTCAACTTTCTGTAACATTGTTAACATTTTGGTTTTTTCTTGTTAGAACACGCACGAGACTGCACAGGCCATCAAGCGCATGCCCCTGCGTCGTGCCCAGCGTTTCCTGAAGGCCGTCATCGATCAGAAGGAGTGCGTGCCCTTCCGCCGTTTCAATGGTGGCGTTGGCCGTTGCGCCCAGGCCAAACAGTGGAAGACCACGCAGGGTCGTTGGCCCAAGAAGTCCGCCGAGTTTCTGTTGCAGCTGCTGCGCAATGCGGAGGCGAATGCTGATTACAAAGGACTCGATGCCGATCGCCTAGTTGTTGATCACATTCAGGTGAATCGTGCTCAGTGCCTGCGTCGTCGCACGTACCGTGCCCATGGTCGCATCAATCCCTATATGTCGTCGCCGTGCCACGTCGAGGTCATCCTGTCCGAGAAGGAGGAGGTCGTCGCCAAGGCTGCCGACGATGAGCCCACGAAGAAGAAGCTCTCCAAGAAGAAGCTGCAGCGCCAAAAGGAGAAGATGTTGCGTTCTGAATAAAATGTGTTCTGGAACGGGGGCAGTGGCGGTGTACGTCGCCAGCCGCCCAGGCCGGTGTTAAACAACTGAAACAAACGTCATTTTTTTTTTTTCAACAATACAAACATAAATTTACAGTTTCAATATGCTCGTGTGTGTGTGTATATTTAAGAAAAGGAAAGCAACTGCGATATCATATCCAAAAACTCCCCTCAAATTGCAAGTTAAGCCCCAAATGATGCTTCGATCTTTTTCCCTTTTCCTTTCTTGTTAGTCTAGACTAGCGGAACCGCAGCGGGACGCAATAAAGATCATTTTCACTTGTATTTCATGGAGGACTTCAATGGAATAATCACAAATGAGGCTACTTGGCGTGCTTAACTGGCTTTGCCCGCTCCTTGGAACATCCCATAGATACATACATATATCCTTTACTCACTTTCCAAATTTCAAAGATTGTTCGAAAGGGGAGGCAGGCACTTGAAAAACTAACTTCATACAATTTTACGCTTTACGCGAATTTCTAACAAAAGCTGAAGTCATAATCCCGAGTGCGCCATTATCTTCAGCTTCATAGTTTCCCATCGGTCTGGCCAAGCATTCTATATGTAGATAAAGCACATTTGTTTGGCTTGTGCTTGCAGTCTGGCAACGTAGCGCGCCCAGTGTTGCTCTCATAGCATTAATTAAATTGTGATGCGGTATTTTTGTCTGGATAAATTTGAAAATTATGTATATGCCTACAATTGCACAGATCTTAAAACAGCTGTTAGTATTTCCTAAACAGCTGTTCGAATACTGACAAGCAAGGAGCCCGTTGTGCAACACTGTTTTCGTGCTACCTCACTCGTGAAAGTAAATGTTTATTTTGTGTAAAGAAAGAGAGGGCATGTTCGCGAGCATCAGTTAAAAAGAGAACGAAAACCCGTGCATGTATGAGATGTGCCATATATTTTTAGCATTTCTTATAAACGAAATAACATATTTGTGGGTGAATACTTTTTTGGTAAATGACTTGTTTTCAGTTCTGTTTTTGATTTGGGACATCGAATCGACGAGATTCTTTGTTGGCCTCGCTCAGTGGCCGTTGCAGCAGCTTGTCGTTGTTGGCCGCACTGAACTGCGGCTTGCGGCGCACGATCTTTGGATTCGGATGCTTCTGCTCGACAATGTGCTGCTGGAGCTGCTGCTTGCGCATAAAACCCTCATCGCAGACGATGCAGGCATATGGCTTGCGCATGCTGTGCACAAAATGATGCACATTGCGATTCTCGGCGCGACTGAATTGCTTGCCACAGATCTGGCAGGTGAAGTTCTTCTCGCCGGTATGGCACAGCAGATGCTTCAGCAGGTTCACAGCATTTGTGAAAGTCGCCTCACAGTGCTCGCACTGGAGGTCGCGCAGCTGCGTATGCTTCGACTTGATGTGATTCTCCAGCAGCCGCTTGCGCTTGAAGCTGCGCTCGCACATGCTGCACTTGAAATTCGCCTGGTTCTGGTGTATGGTCAGCAGATGGGTGCGCCAGTTGGCACGCTGCGCGAAGCTGGCCTCGCACAGGTCGCATTTGTATGGTCGCTCGCCGGTATGGACGCGCTCGTGCTCCTCCAGACCTTGACGGCGGGCGAACGTCTTGCCGCAATACGTGCAGGTCAGGCTGTTTGGGCGTACGGATGCGGATGCGGCAACTGCAACGCAAAAGTTATAAATTACTTTGCAGCAACTTAATACGATTGTGCCCGGTTGTCACCTGGCATCGCTTTTGGGAGCTGCTGCGGGATGAAGCCTTGCACGGAATCTGTTTCCTCCGAGCACTGCTCTATCAAGTCCATATCTTCAGAGCATTGCTCAATCAGTTCTCTTTCCTCGAAGCACTGATCCACAATCGTATCTGTTGGCTCCGGACACTCTTCGATCAGGTCTGTGCTCACCGAGCACTGCTCAATCAGGTCCAACTCCAAACTGTTTTCGTCACTTAGGAACTCCTCCTCCCGTTTAAAACGTGCCTCATATAGCTGGACCGTTCGTTTGTGCAGCTCTGTTATCTCCAGACGTGCCAGAAACAATTGATGCTCCATTTCCTCATAGTTGAGCAGGCTCACCTTGCAGGTGCTGCACACGAACTGCCAGGAGGGTAAACATGGTTTTAGAATCTCTTCTTTTATTATTATTTGCCAGCCAAGCTCTTACCGTCGAGTGCAGCTGCTCCTCTTGCAGTTGATAGCCCAGCACCATGGCCAAGATGTGGGCCAGGGTTTTCTGCTCGTCGCCCGTCGCATTGCAGCGCTTTTCGAACATGTGCTCGTACACCTTTCCGTCCGCAAAGCTGCAGTTGCACAGATAGCAGCGCGGCATTTCCAATTTACCAGTTTAGCTACGGTTCGTTCGCGAAAGGAGTAAATTCATCTTTGACAATTGGCCAAAATTTGCTCCAAAATCAGTCAATTGCAATTTATCGATAAACGATAAACAAGCAAAATAGTTTGCCGGCATTTATGAAATGAAAGTTTAACAAAATAAATGAAAGCGCACGCAAATTTAAAACATTTCAATAATTGCTGCCGCTATTCGTATTTAAATATTTGTTTCATTGCGATAAATTCAACGCTAAGCCCATTTAATGACAGCTTAAAAAAATACGTTTAATACTAGCACATTGATTTTCATGCGCCAACTTATTACGCATTTTGCTGTCTAGAGTGTACTTTTTTGAATTTCCAATAGTTGTTTATTTTACTACGTTATTTGTATGCTACATTTATATTGTTTTTTAAGTCTTGTGTTAAATCGATAAGGTGCTTAAAGCAGTGTTGCATTAAATGCCAAAACTTAGCACACATTTTCGGCAAGCTGGTCACACTTGCAGATAAATCCCATTAAATTTCGATAGCAAACAACACGCACATCGATAGTCTAAATAGAAAATATAACATTGCCAATTCGATTGCGGAGTTCTGCGGTAAAGTGCCGGAACAATTGCGCGTGGTTATTGACGCATGCCAATTAATTCATTAATAATACAAATAAAATAACAATCAAGTGTTTGCGAACGTCTGTATTGGTGCGTACTACTTGTTGTCGCTCACAAACGGTATTATTTTGTTGGATTTTGTTTGTTTGTTTGTTTTTTTTAAGTGGAAATGTGAGTGCATCTGAAACCGAAATTTGTGAAGTGCCGCTAGTTTTTCGCGCGTTTTGTTAAATGTTTTTTTTTTTTCTCATAATTTTATTACTCTTTTTGGCGGCTGCTGACCGGCGCCAGTGTGTGACTTTAACGGAGCATTTGATGCGTGCGGCGGCAGCAATAACAATTCAATAAAAATAAACGACAAGTTTTTGTTTACGTCCAATAAGAATTTGGCACAGCAGCAGCAGCAGCAACCCCAACTAGAATTTTAAGCAAACAGCGGCAGCAGCAACTAGGGGTTATTTTTTCAGAGTGTGTGTATATATATTATATATATATATGTGTGTGTGTGTGTGTGTGTGTTTCTATTGTTGCATTTGCTGTGCTGCTTTTTGTTCTAAACTAAATATGTGTATATGTATGAGAAGCTGTAGATGAGCTCATGATAAGGTGGCGCGTTGTCTGCTCTCAATATTTTTGTTTTTTATATCACACGCACACACACACACACACGCACACACACACACGCACACAGCACATATCAAACATCCTCCCATCACATTGAAGTCGCGCCGCAGTTGCTGCGCTGCTGCGCCACCCAAATGCTTCAATGTTTGCGTCATGCGGCCGCCACCAGACCCATTCCATGGGACGCCATTAGATGTTGTTGTTGTTGTTGTTGCTGTTGCTACTGCCATTAGATGTTGTTGTTGCTGTTCTAATTTTATTTAACGTGCGTTTTGCTGTGAGTAGGTGCTTGAATTTTATTTCGTATGTGTATCTTTTTTTTCGTGCGTATCAAATTGAAATAAAATAATTCAATTATCACGGGACTCATTTTTTTGTTGTTTGGCTTTTAGTTTTGTTTATGCGGGAATCTTGATGTAAATAGTTGTAAATGGAAATATGAATGTGCTAGTGTGTTTTACCCGTGTGTTTTATCCATATAAATTAGAAAGAACAAGTTGTCGTTCGTGTTGTTGTTGTACTGATTGCTGTTGTTGACGCTGCCGCCGCCCCAAAAGCCAAAGGCAAACGCAAAAGCAAAACAAAACAAAATAAAAGAATGAAATAGAAGCGTGCTTAGGCGCAATAGGGAAAAAAGTGTAGCATACTTTCCGGCGGCACAGGAAACACTCGTGGCACAAAAAGTGTTGCCTACCACTCGGGCAGCCAATTGAATTGAAGCTCCGCTTAATTTATATCGGGTTTTGTTGTTCGCATTGTTTTATTTATGCCATTTTGTTATTGTTGTTGTTGCTGTTTAGCCATCACGCATAGTCGATTAGCTGCCATACGCAAAACGTACACGCATTTAAATATTAAATCCAACAAGGAGGACAGCCCACAACAGAGTCTTCCAGCATGGGTAACATACACACAACGGGCCCAAATGAGGCTTTAATTGTTTCAGGTGAGTTTTTGCCATAATTGCGCACTATGGGCACGTTTCGTATTTATATTAGCACAAACATACAGCCGAGCAGGGACATAAACACAAAAAGAAAACTGAAAAAACTGACTGAACTCCGCTTGCCTTTAGATTCAGTTCCTGCAACTGGTTCACGATTGGAACCAACTCTGTCTGTCTGCCCGATTCGATTTGGTTCATTTTAATTTAAGCTTCGGTTCATGGTAAACAAATTTTGCTGGGAGTTCCGGTTCCGAACCGGTTTACAGTCTTTATTGGGGGTTATTTTTGGTTAAATTTATAGAAATAAAAGTTTATCTTCAATATGCATACACAATCGGACGTGGCTTTAAACTAATATTCGATTATGTTAGTTTTTAATAATCCAGATGAGTTTTTTGTACTGGCTCAATTGGTAATTACAGAGTATCAAGCAGTCGTTTGCACTTGACTGCTCCGTTCTTGCCTTGGCTGCAGATACAAGAGACATTTACGCTGGTTCATTTTATGGTTCAAAAAAATGGCTCGCGTCTTACGGTTCGAATCGTGAACTTAAACGTGAAGAAATGAGTTTTATTTACAGGTGAATTGTTCATATTTTTTCGTACTGAAACTCTTATCAACTCTTATCGTATCAAAGTTTTGCAATAATATTTGCGATTATGGAAAATAATATTTATTTTATATAATACATGGTTTGGGTTTAGCTTATGGTTCGCCTGCTCTTTGAACCGGTTCAAGGTTCAGTTCGATTTGCGGTTTTGAAAGGCTTCCTTTTAATCGAAACACAAGCCCGTCGACGAGAAGTTATTAATGGTGCCCATTGTGCGGTGTTAAGTACTTGCACACATACATTTGCACATTTACATACATTCATACATACATATCAAAATCTTCTTGCCTCTTTCCTTATACAAATTTCAAATGCAGCAATTAAGTAAAACCAACCGCATTGTTGACAGTTGCCAGCTGCCACGATTCGTGCTGCATACTTTGCGGCGCTTAGCCAGAAATCGCCTGGCCTGCTCATTATTTAAAATTATCCTCAAGTGGGGTATATTAACTTTTTGCTAGATGTCTTTTAAAGCATCTAAATCAACTGCAGATCGTCTTATTTCTAAAACATTTCCCAACATTTCTGCACATTTTCTGTGTATTTTTTCAAATATACTTTAATCAATAACGTTAAGTTTCAATCAGTTTATTTTTTAACATGGTTTTTGTTATTATTGTAATTATTATTATGACTATTATTACAAGTATTCTTGTTAATGGTTTAAAAACGGGTTCGAACGGATTTACATATGCTCTTCTTTATACCTTGTAGAGGGCATTATAATGTTGTCATGAAATGTGTATCTACGACATCAACGAGCCTAGAAAGTATATATTCATATTCTAGATAAGCATCAGTTGCTCACTCGATATATCCGCGTCCGTCCGTCTGTCGGTTTTAAAGCTATTGTCTTGACACGTTGAATAGGTCCGTCTTTCCGACAGACCATATGTCGGAATCAGTCAGATCGTAGCACTATATCATGCAGTTGCTATAGGAACGATCTGTTGAAAAGTAGGTTCCTATATGGAAAACTGTTTTGTTTCTCAAGATATCTTAAGCAACCCGGGGAATTACTATTTAACCTATGCTGCTTACATAAAAGCTAAATCTTATCATGATTAGAATCAGTTGAAAAATAACTCTTAACTTGCTTTCTCGTTTTGTTATTGTCATAGTATACATACATATATATATTATATAAGTAATTAATGCGTATAGTCATATTTTGTAGAAAGTACTTCACAGGCGAGATATCAACATTCTTATCAATAATATACACGTATTTACAGGCTTATTATAATGTGACTGTTGTGCAAGATCGTGGCACTTGGGGAACATTCTTATCATACTTGACTTTTGCGAGAGCTCGTGGGATTCACCAAATGCTCAGAGTTAAAAAAAAAGTCATAATTCTTTTCACCCGATGGGCATTCATATCGAATTTGCCAGCTTTTTCCCCTATGCAATATCTATTTAGCAGAGATAGAGATAGAGATAGAGATAGAGAGAGAGATAGAGAGATAGAGATAGAGATAGAGATAGAGATAGAGATAGAGATAGAGATAGAGATAGAGATAGAGATAGAGATAGAGATAGAGATAGAGATAGAGATAGAGATAGAGATAGAGATAGAGATAGAGATAGAGATAGAGATAGATAGAGAGATAGAGAGATAGAGATAGAGATAGAGATAGAGATAGAGGTAGAGATAGAGATAGAGATAGAGATAGAGATAGAGATAGAGATAGAGATAGAGATAGAGATAGAGATAGAGATAGAGATAGAGATAGAGATAGAGATAGAGATAGAGATAGAGATAGAGATAGATATAGATATAGATATAGATATAGATATAGATATAGATATAGATAAAGAGATAGAGATAGAGATAGAGATAGAGATAGAGGTAGAGATAGAGATAGAGATAGAGATAGAGATAGAGATAGAGATAGAGATAGATAGAGAGATAGAGAGATAGAGATAGAGATAGAGATAGAGATAGAGATAGAGATAGAGGTAGAGATAGAGGTAGAGATAGAGATAGAGATAGAGATAGAGATAGAGATAGAGATAGAGGTAGAGACAGAGATAGAGATAGAGATAGAGATAGAGATAGAGATAGAGATAGAGATAGAGATAGAGATAGAGATAGAGATAGAGATAGAGATAGAGATAGAGATAGAGATAGAGATAGAGATAGAGATAGAGATAGAGATAGAGATAGAGATAGAGATTGAGATTGAGATTGAGATAGAGATAGAGATAGAGATAGAGATAGAGATAGAGATAGAGATAGAGATAGAGATAGAGATAGAGATAGAGATAGAGATAGAGATAGAGATAGAGATAGAG